TATGTCTTCAACCCTGTCGTACTGACGAGCCCGGGGGGGGGTTGGTAAGACTTCGATGATTCGTCTACGACAACGGGCGAAACGGATCATCTGTGCTGTGGAGTGTATGCATTTCCCCAATGTTTGTTTTTCTTTGTTTCTAGTTACACTAACAAAAGTAAATTGACATTTAATTTAGAAGTCTGCACACGTATTGGCTGATTGAGAGGACAAAAATATACATAAATGAAAAGTCCAGAGCAGTGATGAACGAAATCTGTCACAAACACAAAGCATTGAAAAATTAACAATTTACATATCAAAAACAAAACACACTATTGAGATAATATTTCCGAAAGGATATAATTTGTATACAGGGAAGGTCGTATGAAGAAATATTCGATGAACACATGAGATGCCATAACCGTGATGCATGATCTCCCTTATGAGGAAAACATTTCGAGCAATTAAATTTAAATGATGACAAAAAATATATTAAAATCGAATGTGACCACCAAACTACATAAGAATGTGACCAACACGCTATAATACAATGCATACTGTTGGAGAGAAAATCGCATTGTATGAAAGACCTTATAACGGCCAGAAACCGGAAATCATATTTAACACCGGGAAATTGATGTTCAATAGGACTATGGTATAGCTAAGATAAGCTTTGATTAGAGTCCTAGACGGACGCAATTACACAAAACGGACGGTAAGTGACGTGACCGCTAGCTAAACCATAGAGGCTACACAGCATCAAATGGCAATAACTATACCAATCAAAGCAAATAATCATGGCCGCTACTACAGTTCACCACTTAAATGGTACAGACATTACTTCTACTGAATTACTGGATAATAACATTTACAGGACAATAAGAGGTGACAAAATGGCAAAAAGGCTATAACATATGCAGATTTTACCCTACTAAACAAGAAACTCAAACGCAGGTGCTATATATCTACGCGTTTCAGCTTACCTCATTCAGCAACACAATATTTGGAACACAATTTTTGAGCTAACACATAAACTCGTTATCGATTTTCGTGTAGATCAATTTCAAATCAGATATACCTATATATAGCAGCAATAAACTAGCACACAACAATAACCTTGATTGATCTCCCTGTTTGCACGGATACAAGCTCTTGATGAATGTTGTAGAAAGAAAATACAAAATGACTGGAAAGAAATGATACGTAGAGAAATCGGCTACTATACTGCTTTACAAGAGAAGCTGGCAATTACTCATCTTAATATCAGGGAAGGGTCCTAACTGGAAAATTCTGACTACTGTAACGTCTTTATTGGACAAAATCCAGCATAGCGCAATCGACTGTGCTGTTGACGGGCCAAGGACCCGTCGCGCGACGCGTTATCCAGGTAGAAGAAACCACTAAACTACTGGATTCCACTAGGTAATCGCTAGACAGCGCCTTGGCTGAAAAACAGAAGCGCCGAAGCCTAAGCTGGCGACTTTACGTGGGCTGTCAGTCGCGAACATCCAGTAGTTTAGTGATCCGGACGAGTTATCCGACATGGAAGATGTGCCGCATAACCTGTCACCACACGTCTATGACCTGGAACAGCGCCTTAGTACCGTTGAGCAATATCCCACCATGTATACCAAAAAAGAAAAAGTCGTTAGGAGGTCCGCTAACCTCCAGGCACTCCTGCGGCTAAGTGATCAGGGGTTTCCAAAACTTTTTTCTTGGATTCTTTCTGTCTTCCTCAGGATTTTTCCGTCAATGTAGGGTCAGCTTCATTCAGATGATAACACCGGCAAAGTGACGCATTCTCGGGACCTAGCTGTAGTACTAAAACAGGACGATCAACTTCTATTTACTCCCAGCCGATCAGCCAGCTTCGACCTTGTCCGGCAATATAATAGCCGAAATAATTGGAATACCAAAGACTTCAAAAGAATCAATGAAGAGACTCAAGTCCTGAGCTTTACTTACTGGGACAACTTGAAGAATCATCTATTTTCCGTAAATCTCCGTATTACAGCGATGACGTGACCGGTTCTGATGTTACAATTCA